GTCACATCACAGTAGAAAGCTGACCGATCCATTATGGTTGTTTCCCTCCCTCCCATTCATTCCATTCCCACGAACTGCATGGCATCACACCAGTTTTCGACGTGTTGGCTTTATATATACAGGCATAGGCATCATTGCAAGCCTTCCTTTGGTTTTGAAGTTGTATGGTCACATGACGCTAATCCAACATTTCTATGTACAGCTCACAGTACGCGAAAGAGAGCCGATTGAAGCGGATATGAAGCCCGAAATTTGAATTGCAAAATCAGCCTTCAGGAAGCGGAGAACTGGGCGCCGCATTCAAAATGACAGCTTCGTAATACTGACGATTTAGGTGACGCTCTTGCTGTCGAGTGCGAGTATAGGCTCGATCTGCGTATTTTTCACCCCCTTTCAAGTGAAACTAACGGCGACTATCTCTTGTGCGCCTTTCAGGCCTGCTGCTCTGCTCGTTAGTGGCTTCCCGACGTCATTATTCATCGCCGTTCTTTCTTCTACGCGCTTTGCCCGCAATTTCACTTAGCAAATTGACAGTCATCCTTCGAACTCGAAAGACATCTCTTTTCGTGCCCAGCAGTCCCTCGCTGGTGATTTCGCCGCGTCTGTCAAAAGCCCAGCGGTCGCTCCCAGGTGACTGCGCGAATAGTTTCAACATGGCGAAGGGTAACGACACCAGCGCGAAGTACTTGCGAGAGCAGATGGACACCATGTTGTATACTGGAGATGAGCGGAACGAGAGGGAGCGGACGGACGAGAGGGAATGGGGGAACGACTGGGAGTGGAGGCTTGAACTGAAGAAAGCGCGGAAAGCTTTAGCCGAGGCAAGACGGCGGGAAGAGGAGCTGGAAGGAATGGTGAGGGAGGGCGAGAGGGCGATGTGGGAGCTGGAGGAGTGGATTGCGTGCAAGGTGGACGCCATGTCGTCGCTGACTGCCGAGCTTCGCGAGGAGTGGATGAAGGAAGCAGTGCTGTCACGGGCCGATGGAGCTCGCAAGCGGGCGCGCTTGGCGGACGCCGCCCCCTCGCATCCGATGGTGATGATGGAGGTGAGTGCGCACGACACGCTCCACGCCAACGTTAGGCCACACCACGCCACAGTATCATGCCATGCCGTGCCATGCCATGCCATGCCATGCCAGGCCATGCCATGCCATACATGCGATGCGATGCCATGCCATACACACATCTCACCGTGCATGTCGCACGTGCAACCCCATGCCCCGTATTACATGTAAGACGGGGTTGAGCGCACGACTTATTCCATGCTAATATGTAAGGTCCTAGCATGCCTTGTCCCCATCTGCAATGCACGCCATCCTACTCTCCTTGCCCATCCATGCATACTTTATCTTTTTTTCCCACTGTTACCCTCTTCTCGACACCCTCATCTCTCTCACTCTTCTCTCTCCCGCCTCCCAGCTCACTCCCTCTACTTTTGTCGTCCTTACTCGTTGCGACCGGCACCGCCCTTCCCACCTCCCTATTCCCCCCCTCCCTGTAGCATGCCTTTATTTCTCCCGAGCAGGCATTGTCCTTGGCTCGGCAGGACAGGACAGGCCAGTCGGGGGCCTGTACACCTCACACCCTGCACGGCTCATCGTGGTCTTTCTCGTTCCCCCACACACCCTTTTCCCTCCCTAACCCCCTTCGTCGGATCAACCACGTGGCAGAATCTGGCGGCTCTGTCTGCCCATGCAGAGGCCATCCGTTCAATGGTGCAGGGAGTGAGGAGGCTGGCGTTTAGGCTTGAGGTCCGGACGGCACACACGGATAGAACGCAAGAGGAGAAATAGGAATGGGGGGAGAAGCCGCACGAAAAGGAGAACGAGGTGGGGGGACAGGTGCAGGAAGAGGGGTTGAGGGACGAGGCAGAGGAAACGACGAAGAGAATGGATGAGCCGATGGGAGATGGACGTGTGGGTTCCAAGAACGAGACTTGGAAGCAAGGGTTTTGGGCAGGGCCAGGGTTTAAGCAAGAGGAAGGAGCAGGCGACGAGGCAGAGGCGGAGAACGAAAACGAAGCAGAGGGGAGGGATCGGGGCGTACACGGTCAGCAGAGCAATGGACAAAGCAAGGAGCAGAGCAAGGCGCAGAGCCAGGCACAGAGCAGAGGGCAGGGCAACGGGAAAGGCAAGGCCCAGAGCAAGGGGCAAGGAAAGGGGCAGAGCAAGGGGCAGAGCAAGGGGCAGAGCAAGGGGCAGAGCAAGGGGCAGAGCAAGGGGCAGAGCAAGGGGCAGAGCAAGGGGCAGAACAAGGGGCAGAACAAGGGGCAGAACAAGGGGCAGAACAAGGGGCAGAACAAGGGGCAGAACAAGGGGCAATGCAAAGCCCAGAGCAAGGGGCACAGCAACGGGCAGAACAAGGGGCAGATCGAGGGGCAGAACAAGTGGAAGGGCAAGGGGCAAGGGAGGGGCGCCCGGCCGATGTGGAGAGACAGTCAACGAGGCAAGCGGTTGCAGAAGAGGTAGCTGTGCAGGAGGAGGTGGTTGACAATCTTTCCATGGTGCAGGTGAGCGGGGCGAGGAGAGAGGGGCGACTGGGGGGTGGTTGTGAGAGGGGCGGTTGAGAGGAATCCGCGCATGAGGGACTTGGCAACAGTCAACGCCTCCTTGAAAATGTGAGTGAGAAGCATCTGGCATGCCCAAAAAAAACATCCCCTCTTGTCTTCCTGTGAGCGCACATAAGGGACCTTATGTCAGGGACCCTCACATGCTATTGCTACTTGCTTATGTTCCCTCTTGTTTCTGTCCGCCCTGCATTCATTCATTTTCCTCCTGTTGACTCGCTTTTCCTCCCCTTCGATCTCCTCCTCTTTCCCTGTTTCCTCTGTTGCACGCCAAAAGCTTACATTCCATCCCAATTCTCCTCTTATCCACACCCGCCATTCGTGACTGCATGTCCCTCCACGCTTGCCCTGATCTCAACCCTCCCCCATTCTCTTCTCGTTTTCCGCTCTTGCCCCCATCCACCCCTCCCCCATTCCGCCTCCGACCCACCCCAGCCACTCATTTCTGCCGTTCACAGTGCAGGCAGCAATGAGGGAGCAGGAGTGAATTCAGAAGGAGCAGTTACAACAAATGTGAATGAGAGGCGCGCACACAGGAAAGGAGTTGGGGGCAGGGCGGGGAGAGCGGGGGGAACGCAGGTGAGGACGGCGCATCAGTGGCCGCCTGTGGGTGGGAGAGCAAATGAAGCAGAGGTGAGGGCGAGGCTGCAGAGAAGGGTCAATAGTTCACTGCGCAGCGTCCGCCCTGACAGGCTGGAGAGTATCACCCGACAAATCAACAGGGTGGTCTCTCAGCTCGCATCCCAAGACCCAGCTGCAACAGAGATCTCCCTCGGTAGGCTCTCTCTCGCCTACTACCTCCATCTCACTCCCCACTGCTACCCAGACGTCCTACCGCGCCTCACCACGCTCAACCTCCGCCTTGTCGACCCCGTCTCGCCAATCGCTGCGAAACAGCTCCTCAGCCTGCCCTCGCTCACAGCCCTTCACTTGCACGAAACGTCCATCCAGTCAGACGCAGTGCCTCTATTCCAGTGCATGTCTCGGCTCCATCGGCTCGTCATAGCATGTTTTGAACCCTTCGACCTGCTTCCCAACGTATCAGCATCCAACCTGCCCCCTCCTCCACCTAATCCCGTCAGCAAATTCCAGCTCCAGCCAGTTCAGCCGTTTCAGAGCTTGAGGGAGCTGCATGTGAGCCGCGTGACTGACTCTATTCTGCAGCAGGTTGGGGTGCTGACGACCCTTGAGGTCTTCTCCTGCACGTGCAGCAGGGGGGTGAGTTCTAGGGGATGGACGCACCTTACGAGACTGGTGAACCTGAAGAGGCTGCAACTGGCGCCAACAATCATTCTCAAGAACCTCGGATCAAACGACCACCCCTTAGGAGAATCCTTACTGCACCACCACTTCGGTCCGAAGCTACACTTGCACGACTACCACCTGCCGGAGATCGTCAGAACCTTCCAACGGCCCTCCAGGAAAGGGGCCGCCGCTGCTGCAAGTGAAGACCCTGGCAACCGCATCGACGGGAGCATATGGGAGGTGGTAGGTGCCCTGCCGGGCCTGCAGCACCTGGAGGTGCACGCAGCCAAGCCCAGCAGCACAGCTGTGAGATCTGTCTCCAACCTCAGGCAGCTCAAAACCCTCCGCATCACCGGCACTCTGCTTGACGATTCGGACCTACTGTGCTTGAGAGGCTTCCCACTACTCACCGACCTCAGCCTGGCTGCCTGCACATTTGAAGCAGACTGGGCTGTAGCGGTTGTGATCCAAGCAATGACGCAGTTGCATTCGCTGGACCTGTCGGGAACGGCCATCAGCCAATACGCTGCTGTGTACCTGCAGGCACTTGAGCGGCTGGAGCGGTTGAAGCTGCAGCAGTGCTGCGGGATGAGCAGGCTGTTCGTGCAGCGTCTCAGCTGTGTTCCTGCGCTGAGGGAGCTGGATCTGGGGTGCAACAACATGCAGCATGGTTGGCTGCTGCCGGTATTGGAAGGGAAGAAGGTGACTCAGCTTAGGGTAGGGGGCTGCGGGTTTATGGAGCGAACCTTGCGTGGGCTTCCACGGCCGTGGATCGAGATTGACTCAGAATCGGATGATGACTGATTCCTGGATTCATGCATTGTAGGGGTTATCTGGCATGGGGTGTGAAAGGTCATGCATGTGATTGGGTTAGATTGTGTTGTAGGGTGCCTTAATGGTGGTAAGAGAACCATGTTGAATGATCAGCACATGAACTGGTGTAGCAGTGGTAGTACCGTACCATAGGGGGGTTGTGCGTTGCTCTGTTACTCGCAATAATGTGATATACCATAATCTCCCAGAGTATGTAAGGCCTGTAAGTGTGAAGCGCTATGAAGATTGAAACTGTGCATATTACCCAAAAACTACATTGTCCAGTGTGTGTGTGTGTGTGTTTGTGAGTGTGTCTTTGACAGAAAATAAGGATAAGCACTCATCTCCATTTCTGCACAGTTGCGCCGCTAACCCATCATTCGATCGGCCCCTCAGACCACAAGCTGCTGTCAAACAACCCCGTGGTGCTGTTCTCACCCCCACCACCACTGCCACCACCAAACGCCCTCCCTGTCTCTACACGCGGGCTGGCCTCACAAGCATCAGCCCCGTCATCAGCGCAGTACCGGGCCAGCATGCCGTGCAGGCGGCGGGCAACGTCGCGCATGGAGGGGCGGCGGGAGGCGGGCATCTTGAGGCAGTCCAGCGCGATATCTGCGAGGTCGACTATGGCGTCCTCTGGTGCTTCCATCGTGGAGTTCTTGAGCTCTCCCAACTCGTATTTCTGCACTTTCTGCGCTGCCTGCAGCATGGGAGACGAGGGTAGCGCAAGGGAAGGGCGGCGGTGGTTGCTAAGGAGGGAGGCGGGCATCTTGAGGCAGTCCAGGGTCACGTCTGCGAGGTCGACTATGGCGTCCTCTGGAGCATCCAGTGTGGGGTCCTTGAGCTCTCCCAGCTCGTACTGCTGCACCCTCTGTGCTGCCTGCAGTAGGTGCAAAGAGGGTGGAGCAAGCGAGTGAGATGAGAGCCTGTCAGTGTGGGGTCCTTGAGCTCTCCCAGCTCGTACTGCTGCACCCTCTGCGCTGCCTGCAGCACAGGAGTAGAGGGTAGAACAAGAGGGTGGGATCACAAGGAGCGTATTCAACCGAGTGGGGTGGTAGTTTCTCAGGTGAGAGGAACCACGAGGGACGAGGAAAAAGGCAAAGGAAGGTCACGGAAGGAAGAGTAATAGCTGAGAGGGCTAGTCTGCATTCCACTCGACTCACCCAGTCGCTGATGTGGCTGTCGGTGCCCTCCACTGCTGCCCTGCGCCCCGTCAGCAGCTCCAGCAGAACCACCCCGAAGCTGCACGTGTGTCCACAAGAGGGAAGTGGGGGGGGAAGGAGGAGACAAACAGAAGTGGGCAAAGATGGGCAGCAGCCCCGTCAGCAGCTCCAGCAGCACCACTCCAAAGCTGCACACGCGTGCACAGGGGGGCACCCCGGCAATGAACTAGAGATTACCCTAACAGAGCATTAAAGCCGCATACCTGTACACGTCACTCTTATCCGACACCACATGCGTGCGGTTGTAATCCGGGTCCAGGTACCCCGGCGTGCCTGCCACGCGCGTGCGCTCGTCGCCCCCATCAGCGTGGGAGAGCAGCTTGAGCAGCCCAAAGTCAGCAATCTTGGCGAGGCTGTGGGGGCCCACGAGGATGTTCCCTGGCTTGAGGTCGCGGTGGATGATGGGCACTGTGAAGCTGTGCAGGTAGGCCACTCCGTCTGCTGCGCCTGCTGCTAGTTTCAGCCTCTGCTGGAGAGACAGTGGGGCTGGGGACAAGGAAGGGTTGGAAGAGGGAGAGGGAGACGAGAGTGGGAAGAGAAGAGGTGGAGCGATGATGGGGAAAGTAAGGGAGCAGCTTGAGTAGCCCGAAATCGGCTGCGAGAGAAGGGGATCAGCTGGAAGAGAGGACGACGAGAGGGAGAAGAAAGGGGGAAACGCGAGAAGTGCGTAAAGAAATGGGAAATCCTGAGCATAATTAGGGGATGGGGCGGGGGAAAGAGAAGGAACGAAGCTAAGCTGTGCTGCAAAGCGAGGCGATGGGGGGCATGAAGAGGAGGTGAAAAGCTTGTCAAGGTGTGACACGGTGCACTGGTATGACAAAGGACACATAAAGAGGAAAGCGGTTGTTGAAGGGGGGAAGGCGACATGGTACAAGGGGACCCACCATTTGAGTTGTGGATGTGGTGCTTGAGGTCTCTTGCAGCACATGCCTCCAAACGGACAGACAAGCAGCAGGGCAACACACAGCATGCAACTGGGAAACAGCTGGTATCCCGATGCCTGGGGCTGGAACTCACTCTTCGCATGGTGAATGTGGTGCTTGAAGACCCCATTGCCCACATACTCGTACACCAACACCTGCTTCAGTCCTGCTCTCCATGTACATGCTATGATCGGATACACCCGGGGCACAGAGGTACCTTAGGCACTCACACTTGGGGTGGTGGATGTGGTGCTTGAAACCCCATTGGGGCACCTTGTGGTGCTTGGGGCAGCGCACAGCATGGAACAGAGGGACTCACACTTGGAGTGGTGAATGTGGTGCTTGAGGTCCCCATGGGGCACATACTCGTACACCAGGATCTGCTCCTGCCGCCCACTCTCCACGCTCTGGTGCAAACAGAAGCCCAGCAGCCTCACCACATTCTCATGCCGCAGCGATGCCATCGCCCGCACCTGCCATGCACGAGGGGAAGGGGGGGTGAGGGAGGAAGGGGAATGGTTACTCGTACCACGTTGTAGTGCTCAAGGTGAGGTTGATGTAGGGATGCGAGCATTGCAAATGGGCATGGGGCTAATCCAGGAGAAGAACGGCTTACACCAAAATACAATACTGCCATGCACAACACTGGCAACATTAAAGCCTATGATAGGAGGAGGAAGGAAACAAAAGGCATGCACAAGTTGGTCCACGTCCACATAACAGACCCGTTCCTCCCACCTCGTTCTCAAAGTCGTTGGACATGAGGCTGATGCGCTTGACGGCCCACAGCTCGCCCGTGGGTGACACGCCCTTGTAGACGGTGGCGAAGCCCCCCTTTCCCAACACGTTGGCGCTCGCCCAATTGTCCGTGGCGCGGAGAATGTCTGCCATGCTGAACTCCCTACACACGTCCAGACCCGCCCACCTCCCTGGTGGACACAGCGTGGCGTGGATGAGAACATGAGAGGGAGTGTGTGAGAGATGATGGCAAAAAGAATGAAAGGGAGATTGAGCAAGAGGGTGACAGAGAGAGAATGGAAGAGAGAATGCCCTTAGCCTAGCTTAGATGCCCTTGCTCTTACCTTGTATGATACGCACGCGCATCAAAACGATTCAAAGAGAGAAAGGGGGAAAACAGGCAAGAGAAGGATGGGATTGGAGGAGTGGAAGCGATGTGGAGAGGAAGGAACTATGATACGAGCTGGTTTGAAAACCAGCTCGGAAGGAACTAGGGGAGGACGGGGTGGCGAGTAGAGTGATGGGCGGACGAGGGGACGAGGGGACGAGGGGACGAGGGGACGAGGGGACGAGGGGACGAGGGGACGAGGGGACGAGGGGACGAGGGGACGAGGGGACGAGGGGACGAGGGGACGAGGGGACGAGGGACGAGGGGACGAGGGGACGAGGGGACGAGGGGACGAGGGGACGAGGGGACGAGGGGACGAGGGGACGAGGGGACGAGGGGACGAGGGGACGAGGGGACGAGGGGACGAGGGGACGAGGGGACGAGGGGACGAGGGGACGAGGGGACGAGGGGACGAGGGGACGAGGGACGAGGGGACGAGGGGACGAGGGGACGAGGGGACGAGGGGACGAGGGGACGAGGGGACGAGGGGACGAGGGGACGAGGGGACGAGGGGACGAGGGGACGAGGGGACGAGGGGACGAGGGGACGAGGGGACGAGGGGACGAGGGGACGAGGGGACGAGGGGACGAGGGGACGAGGGGACGAGGGGACGAGGGACGAGGGGACGAGGGGACGAGGGGACGAGGGGACGAGGGGACGAGGGGACGAGGGGACGAGGGGACGAGGGGACGAGGGGACGAGGGGACGAGGGGACGAGGGGACGAGGGGACGAGGGGACGAGGGGACGAGGGGACGAGGGGACGAGGGGACGAGGGGACGAGGGGACGAGGGGACGAGGGGACGAGGGACGAGGGGACGAGGGGACGAGGGGACGAGGGGACGAGGGGACGAGGGGGGAGGGGACGAGGGGACGAGGGGACGAGGGGACGAGGGGACGAGGGGACGAGGGGACGAGGGGAGGAGGGGACGAGGGGACGAGGGGACGAGGGGACGAGGGGACGAGGGGACGAGGGGACGAGGGGGACGAGGGGACGAGGGGACGAGGGGACGAGGGGACGAGGGGACGAGGGGACGAGGGGACGAGGGGACGAGGGGACGAGGGGACGAGGGGACGAGGGGACGAGGGGACGAGGGGACGAGGGGACGAGGGGACGAGGGGACGAGGGGACGAGGGGAGGAGGGGAGGAGGGGAGGAGGGGAGGAGGGGACGAGGGACGAGGGGACGAGGGGACGAGGGGACGAGGGGACGAGGGGACGAGGGGACGAGGGGACGAGGGGACGAGGGGAGGGGGACGAGGGGGGGGACGAGGGGACGAGGGGACGAGGGGACGAGGGGGAGGGACGAGGGGACGAGGGGACGAGGGGACGAGGGGGAGAGGGGACGAGGGGACGAGGGGACGAGGGGACGAGGGGACGAGGGACGAGGGGAGGAGGGGAGGGGAGAGGGGGGGGGAGGGGACGAGGGGACGAGGGGACGAGGGACGAGGGGACGAGGGACGAGGGGACGAGGGGACGAGGGGAGGAGGGGGAGGGAGGGGACGAGGGGAGGAGGGGACGAGGGGACGAGGGGACGAGGGGACGAGGGGACGAGGGGACGAGGGGACGAGGGACGAGGGGACGAGGGGAGAGGGGACGAGGGGACGAGGGGACGAGGGACGAGGGGACGAGGGGACGGAGGGGACGAGGGGACGAGGGGACGAGGGGACGAGGGGACGAGGGGACGAGGGGACGAGGGGACGAGGGGACGAGGGGACGAGGGGACGAGGGAGAGGGGGGAGGGGAGGGGAGGAGGGGACGAGGGGACGAGGGGACGAGGGGACGAGGGGACGAGGGGACGAGGGGACGAGGGGACGAGGGGACGAGGGGAGGAGGGGACGAGGGGACGAGGGAGGGGGAGGAGGGGACGAGGGGAGGGGAGGGGACGAGGGGGGGGACGAGGGGACGAGGGACGAGGGGACGAGGGGACGAGGGGAGAGGGAGAGGGGACGAGGGGACGAGGGGACGAGGGGAGAGGGGAGGGGAGGGGACGAGGGGACGAGGGGACGAGGGGACGAGGGGAGGGGACGAGGGGACGAGGGGACGAGGGGACGAGGGGACGAGGGGACGAGGGGACGAGGGGACGGGGGACGAGGGGACGAGGGGGGGACGGGGGATGTGGTGGGAGGACAGGACAATAAAGGGACAGGACACTAAAAGGAAAGGAAATCAGAAGGAAGGGACTGACTTCGCTGTCTGGGCCAGATCACGACGATGCTGAGCGCGAGGAGGAGAGCAAGAGCAGCCGCAGAGCCCACGGCGATGCCCACCAGTGCTCCCGTGGATAGTGCTGGAGGGGATGGGATGGAAAGGGTGGAACAAAGCTGTAATGAAAAGGACGGTCGAGAACATGCGGGAAAGAGGCTTTGCACATGACTTCACGCCTTGGGTCGAGACAGAAGATGAGACTTCATGCCTTGGAGGAATGCTTCACTTGTGACCCACGCTGGTAGGTATGGAAAGAGAGAGACTCCACCATGCCTTGGGACCCATTCTCCCCATCCTAGTTGGGGCACATGCGTGCGGATACAGCCATCAGTTTTGTCCGAAACAAGGTCTCCCACGTCACCGAATCCATTATGCCGTGAGTGCATGCTAAGGCCACAGGCTGCAGCAACAATCACCCTGCCTACCACTCCAGACCAGAGGCCGCAGAGCAGGGGTCAACGCATGCACTTGATGTGAACTTGATGTGAAACACCAACGCAGCTATGCTAGTGACGGCGACATTTACACACCGAATCCATTTCGCTGGCTCAGGCTGAGAAAGTGTTCGTTTGTCACGATTTTCGAGCTTGTTTACAATATTTCACTGTGCCATACACACCACATGCCATACACACCACATGCCATACCCACCACATGCCATACCCACCACATGGCATCTGCACGTACCTCAATGTACCTCAAGCCTGCCCTCAGTGCACATACATGAAGGGGCGTCGGGGTCGGGGAGGCACACGTGGGTCCAGAGCTGCCGTTGACTGCCACGTACCCCTCCTCACATTCACACACGAACCCCACCTCCTCCAGATCCACCTCACCCGGCCCTGCCATCTGCACCGCCGGCACACACGCGCCGTGCCCGTCGCACGTCCCCAGATCGTTTGACAGGCTGCAGAAGCCACGGCACTCGGCAGCGCTGCGCTGCGACTCATTCGTCGCGCAGCCCTGCTGCTCGCCCACACTGAAGCAGTTGCCCCGCAGGCTCGCCTGTCCCCGCTTGTTGGCAGCCGCTTGTTCGAATGCAAGAGCGCTAGTCGCCTCGTCAAACAAACAGCGACCCCCGCCACCAGACGTGAGAGCATTCAGGTCCAAGGTGCGGGTTTGGTTGATCTGGGAGGGGCAGAACTGGCAGCCGTCGGCGTAGAGCATGGGGTGACCGTAGAAATAGTTGCCTGCGATGTTGAGCAGTGCATCCCTGTTGGGAATCATGCCGCGGAAGTTGGTGTTCATAGGGCCGTAGAAGCTGTTGTTGCTGATGTCACTGATGGTCGGCATTTGAGAGGGGGGCATGGCACAAAGGGGAGAAAGGAGTGTTTGGGCGGTTTGACCCTCTACTACTGTGCTGGTGACAAACAAAACTCAAAGCTTCAGCCAAACAATCGCTTCACCTAGCATTGTTCGCGAGTTTCTTGGACGTTAACTTGTAGTTCCCATAGCATCACACAGGCACAGAGAAAGCACGAACTTTTAAGCAACAGCTTCCCAGCCTGTGCAAGCTGTGCTCACATTTTGTGCAAGCAGTGCTGAGTAAGACAAGAGGGGAACTCTCCATAGAAGCGGTTGTTATGGAGGAACCTGAAGGGTGGCAGGAAAGAGAACAGTGCATGCTACTTGAAAAGTATTGACGGTACTCCAATCCTGAAAAGCCATCGCCCTAGAAACTTGCGATAAAAAAATACACTGCAACACGACATAGAGCCATGGTGAAGACAGACTGCAACGAGGTTCCGCAACGGTTACAGATTTTGAGACTCTTTTGAGTCGACTGAGAAATCCGCAATGGTGACAGTTTTTTGCTGTGAGGCTTACATGGTGCGCAGCTGTGTGAGGCTTACATGGTGCGCAGCTGTGTGAGGCTTACATGGTGCGCAGCTGTGTGAGGCTTACATGGTGCGCAGCTGTGTGAGGCTTACATGGTGCGCAGCTGTGTGAGGCTTACATGGTGCGCAGCTGTGTGAGGCTTACATGGTGCGCAGCTGTGTGAGGTTGCAGATGGAAGGCGGTAGCTTGCCTGTGAGCTGGTTGTCATGCACCGACCTGCGCCCACCCCGTGCATGCAGCAGACGTTTCATGTGAGTGGGTTGAGAGGAGGCAGAAGGACAGGCGTTCAACGCCCCCAAGAACACAGGGGCAAAGCAACAGTGGGTTTCATGCCAGCAAAGCCCTCGCACGAGCATCGTTGGCATGGCATGAGTGGCATGGGTGGCACATGAATGGCATGAGTGGCATGAGTGGCATGAGAGAGGGGTATAAGTGGCATGAACGGCTTGTTTGTGAATTCAGGGGCCTGCACTGCACGGGTATGCATGGGGATGCGTGGGAATGCATGAGCATGCATGCATATGCATCATGATTACAAGATAAAGAGATTGGAGAGAGCCCCCAGGGTAGAAGGCAAGGACCCCGAGATGCTGTTGAAAGACAGGTCTCTGTGAAGAGATGGGATGGGTGACAAGATGAGATACAATTTGAATGGGATGGGATGGGCAGAACATGATGAATTAGCAATGGATGACAATTTGAACTTGCAGAGTGACTAAGTGAAGCGTTGGTAAAAGGGAAGAGATGCGAAGCACATTACAAGGCTTGAAGGCTTGGTACAGCAGCGAGCAGAGCTGACGGGATGGTCCCTGAGAGCTGGTTGTTGCGCAAGGATCTGCAGGCTTGGTGGGTGGTGGTATGATGGGATGGAAGGATCCAGTTGAGCCACAAGAAAGACGGGAGACGACCACAAATACTGTCCTTCCATTGGTTCCCAGAGAGCTAATTACCAATGGACCACCTTACATCCATGACGATTTGAGTTCGGCTGGATTATTGCTTTTTTGTAAACGTCCCACATCAGTCAAGCATAATTTTGCGTTGACTCATAACATAATCTCAAGTCGACCACACCACAGTCACTCCAGACACTCGATATCCAAAGCTCAGCTCGTTCATGGCATTCCCAAGCCAAACCGCGATCCGAAAATCCGCTCATACCAAGTGGAATTTCCATTTCGGTCTACACATGTTGGTTCTTTCTTTCCAACAAAAAGACAAAACATATGCATAAATCAAAGCAGGCATAATTTGCTCGTACACTATGACATTACACGCTGTCGCATACAATGAGGTTTGCTCACTCACATGACAGATACAGACGTAAGCACACTGATGGACTCCCCAATGGACCCTGTGAAGCGGTTCTCGCCTAAAAGTCTGCGATCAATAGGGTTGAACATAAATACTGGATCCATCACATCACATGACACGTTGCAGACGGAAATGTCCCAACCTTGTGACTGGTATTTAGCTCGCTCATGGAATCTAAATGGAGAGACAGCAAGTGCCTGCGATTAACAAAGATATTAAAGCCGAGCCGACCAATTAGAGGATGCGTAGAGGATCTAGTCCAGATTATGGGAAAGAACATGAATTTGATTAGCGATCCTTTGGGTTAGGTGGGACAGATAGAATGTGAAGACGACTAGTCACACAAGGTTGGGCATTAGCCTTGCACTTATCAGTCACGTATGGTAGTGCAACGTACAGCCTGTCTATTGACGTGTTCCATTGCGCAAAATCAGGAAGGGAGCCCGATAGCTGATTGCCTTGAATGTTCCTGGCAAGCAGATAGTTCATACAGAACTTATAAGTGTAGTTGTATAAGTATATCTCGACGTGATACGGAAGGAGCGAATGAGAACCCATTCTTCTAGTTCAAATCATACGAGAGGCTCAGATCATACAAGAGGCTCAGATCATACAAGAGGCTCAGATCATACAAGAGGCTCAGATCATACAAGAGGCTCAGATCATACAAGAGGCTCAGATCATACAAGAGGCTCAGATCATACAAGAGGCTCAGATCATACAAGAGGCTCAGATCATACAAGAGGCTCAGATCATACAAGAGGCTCAGATCATACAAGAGGCTCAGATCATACAAGAGGCTCAGATCATACAAGAGGCTCAGATCATACAAGAGGCTCAGATCATACAAGAGGCTCAGATCATACAAGAGGCTCAGATCATACAAGAGGCTCAGATCATACAAGAGGCTCAGATCATACAAGAGGCTCAGATCATACAAGAGGCTCAGATCATACAAGAGGCTCAGATCGTACAGGAGGCTCAGATCATACAAGAGGCTCAGATCGTACGAGAGGCTCAGATCATACAAGAGGCTCAGATCATACAAGAGGCTCAGATCATACAAGAGGCTCAGATCGTACGAGAGGCTCAGATCGTACAAGAGGCTCAGATCATACGAGAGGCTCAGATCGTACAAGAGGCTCAGATCGTACAAGAGGCTCAGATCGTACGAGAGGCTCAGATCGTACGAGAGGCTCAGATCGTACGAGAGGCTCAGATTGTACGAGAGGCTCAGATCGTACAAGAGGCTCGGATCATACAAGAGGCTCAGACCCGCAGTAGACAATCTCCTGGGTAGACTTCCACTCAGATTGTTGTACTCCAGATTCCTGAGGGTTAGCAGCAATGTGTGAAGCAGGCAACGCGAGCCATAGGCCCCAAGAGGCGAAGTGAACGAGTGCCTTCCAAGGTGTGAGTGGGCAACGTGTACAGTTACACTGCTACTACTGCATGGGGCAGTTTAAGAAGTAGTAGATTCAATCCAATCTAAGAACAACAAAGCAGTCCTAAACTCCCACAGAAAGTTGGCCCAGAAAAGCAAACTTATGGCAGACAGGGTGGATGGGGCGAGGACGACGAGAGAACAAGCGACAAAGGCAGGAGGAAGCAGCGGCAGCGAGCATATGGCCTTTAAGCCCTCAAGATCTCTCTCACAGTTCGCTTAGTGGGAGTGAGTAGAGCGCCAATGGGGCTTCGCCGTGAAAATTATTTGGACCAAGTGTCCTGTTGCAAGAAAGCAGAGAGGGAGGAGTGTGGGTGAGGAGAGGAATAACTTGGTGACTTGTCTTAGCACCAGCTGGGCAGTTGCAATACGGCGAGGCCGTGGAACATTCTATGTCTAAGATGGTTCATTAATCAACACACACGATTGCCTCACATGCACATGGCAAGCTCAATCCATGCGATTTTCTCAGAAGAGCTATAGGGCCTAGAGTGCAAATGGGACGGAAGCCCTTACGCTGCCACTTGTGGTTGTGGTTGGATGCATTCACCAGCCACACGCCCGCAGATGATTGTAACGAGGAAAATCCAACACAACAGGTTTGGTAGGAGTTACAGCACAATTGCACACCCTGCAGTGAGTAGTGTACATGCAATGCACACTACACTACTACACCGGCCTGGCAAACTATATATATGCTCTCTACCAAACTATATATATGTTCTCTACCAAACTATATATATGTTTTCTACCAAACTATATATATGTTCTCTACCAAACTATATATATGTTCCCTACAATGGTCCTTCATTAGTTTTGGGGAGGCAGATAGAGCACAGCGGATAAGGTGGGTACAAACATGATAAGGCAGCACAACTGATCAGTACTCTACTTACCATCGTTACTCTCATATGTACCTACTTATCCTGACACAGCCCTCCTCACACTAATCACCTTCGTATGAACAGTTGTGGCGAATCGTAAAGCTGAACTCGTGTTGAGCTGGAAAAGGAAGAGGACTCACAAATAGGCCATGTTCGTCAGCCGGGATATTTCACGGGGAATCAGTCCCTCAAATTTGTTTCCACCAATGTCTCTGCAATGAATCAAGCACACCATGTGTGGAACCACGCGGCACGTTAGACAAAGTGCTCCATCATGAACAATTCAGAAGGTTGGTCACCATTTGCACTGAAAAAAATAGACCGTACATCAAAGTAGAGCCACGGTTTCACAAAAGCGCCACCCACATAGGAGATGCCAGATTAAACGAATGAAGTGAGATGGAGGTTTGGGTAATGTCATGCGCTTCGCACATCTTCTTTGAAATAAAGAAGCTCAAACAATGGGGCACCTTCAATATGCAAAAGATTGTTCACCATAACAACATGACGCATGATTTACACCAACAAAACAAGCAAGCAACCATGAAAGACTTACAAAGATGCAAGTCCGGTGAGGGCCAGAAGAACAGAAGGGAAAGGTCCGTTGAAGTTGTTGCCATGGAGACCCCTGCAGCAACAAGAAGAGGGCCGCGCAGCAACAAGAGTAACAGCATAGGTAAGACCAAGGGATTGGTTTGGCAGACATCAACATGACAGCTTCCCTTATGGGCATGACTGACAAGAGAGTGGGAGTAAGATTTAGGGTTGAGATTTGGATCCACCCGACCTGGCCTGAAATGACCACACCCAACCTGTCTTGAAACAACCCAACTTGACCCCAACCTGACCCGACCTGGGGGGGTGGCAGACCTGAGCCGCATCCAAGTCCACTGCTTCCTTCACCCGACCCGGGTCTAGGGTGAGTCGTGACCGAGGTCCCGGGTGGTCGGATGTCCAATAAACACAATTTTCAATACAATATTTTCTTCACTGGGGCGCTTTAAAAATGACCCGTCATGACTCACACCTGTGACCCGGCACGGTCAAGACAAGACCTGACTTGACCCGTTTCTCATGCCTACTGAGAACCTTGCAGGAACAAAAAAGAGCCTTTAAAGCGTGTTCCAATGCCTCTTATCGGGCAAACCTCTTGCCTGATACAATGAGTGAAGGGTTTATGTAGATTTCAATGTGATGCGACGCGAGCCTGATAAGAGGTTGCCCTGATAAAGGGCCATAAGAACACGCCCTTAGTAAAACAATGTGTGACTCACAATATCGAGAGTGAAGGCAGAGATACTAGACTCAATAAACCACTTGAAAACATGTTGTATGAGATATCCCTGCAATGGGATGCGACCGAAGAAGGTACAATCAGATTCGGTGGTTGTTGTTGGCAAATTCTCGGTTGCTGGCAAAGGCATGAACAGGTTTGTGTTTTGCACTGACAGCACCTTCGCACTGACAGCACCTTCGCACTGACGAACTTCCAAGTAATAAAGAATTGGTCCAACTTAAACGACTGTTTACCCTTGCTCTGTGGGTTGACAGCATTGCATTGATACTACATCGCTTAATTGATATACAATCTGTTTCATCAGCCCTTTTTGTTTCATCATCATATTACATATTTTCTTAACAGTACACATCCATTAATAAAAGCGGCTAGATTGAGGTACTCACAAAGTCACCAGCCATGTCATTTTGCCGATGACATCCAAACCTGAAGTTAGTTGGTTGAATACCGGCATCCTGAACCAAGGTAAACACACAGCACAACACATGCATAGATTAGAGATAGGACCACAATGTTCTGTGCTCATGCCGTCAAACATAATTCTTGAAAACGCCTCCCAGCACCTCAGCACCCATGAAAGGCCAGCCTCACCAGTAGTGCAGATTGATGAGGTTCGTGAAAGAGGAAGGTACTTCTCCCGTGAAGTTGTTACGATCTACGTACCTTGAGGCACAACAAACAACCCATCGCACATCACAGACTTCAGCCACACAAACACGAGTGCCCAAGAAAGGGGCAAAACATAGTATTGGAGTAAGGCAAACATATATATTCTTCTACAGAATTCAGAAAAAAAAAAAAAAATGCATTTGAGACTAGACTACTACCTATGACTTACAGAGTTGAGAGAGCAGACAGGGTACCAACAAAGGGAGGAATGACGCCAGAGAAGCCATTATGTGCAATGTCACTACAGGCAAGAAAAAGAGATAGGAAGGAATTAAAGAAGTTGTACTTTTAATCATCGCATAACTAGCAAGCCTGAATGTGGTTATACATGAATAGTAGTGTTACCACTATAGTTAAGCCAGTCCATAGCTCCGTGCCACCAACAACAATATTGACGTCTTCAAGTTTCAATCAGCCACCCTCACAGTCAACATCGGACTAGGCTGGTAACATATCAGTTTAAAAATAGCGCATTATGCAATGCATGGTAATTCAACGCTAACAACTGAAATACACACATGAGGAGCAAGGGCAACGCAATGAAGTGCCAGTGGGAGTGTCAAGGATGTGTACAGGTAGTTGAGAGTCGTGTAGAAAACAGGCGGGATAGTGCCGTCCATGCTGTTGGAACTTAAGATCCTGCATCATGGTTCAAGAAGGCCGTGGTTTAATATGTGCATGAGGAGGTGAATGGATCCCAAGGCAGGCATGTGACTACAATGAAGTAGTGAACACTCGGATAATTATGTGACCCCAATGGGATGAATATCCACTACCCAGGTCGACACAAGCAAGAAAGTGTGCCATGTACGCTTGTGACATGGGCCGGTATTCATGGCAGGATTGGCAGGGCCATCAAGATATTGAGGGGGCATAATATTTCCCTCCAGCTCATGAGGAGATTCTGATAAAGTACTACATATAATATGTCTGCGCGTAAATTCTGTGGGAAAGCACCTGACCAACGTGTTGTGTGATATGTTTGCAAAGTGTTCGTGAATCGTGTTGCGACTGTTGCTTGTTTTTACACACCACCACCTCAAATCCAAGCGGAACTGGTATTCCCCTCCTTTAAGCCAAAAAAAGAAACCCAAAAAGTCAAATGAAGAGTGACTTGCAAGTCGAGTGACTAGATTCAGACCTGGCTCAAGTCTATGAGTCGAATCATAAGTGGGCTTATTGGAAAACCAACTCGATTCTGAGTTGCCTTGGGTCATACTCATGGGGCGTTCAAATGCTACCATGCGCTTCTGCCAGGCAGAAACATATGCTAGTTGCAGCGGCATTGCAGCCCTTATGCAATTCCTTAAATTTATTGGTTGGGAGAACGCAGAATTGACTTTTAAGGAACCATGAAGGGGTTAACGTAGGCTAAAATGTTCGCGGCTGAAATTGACAAGCCAAATGTGTGGTCCGGACGGCCATTTTTGAGAGCCACACTGTGCTGATAAAGCTGCAATAAAAGCAGCGATAGAAGCTGCGATATATGGCATCGAGAGAGGCTCTACACAACTATGGTGAAACGGGAGAGAGTCTAATGGGTGGCGTTTTTTTTAGACTCAAAAACCAAGTATGTAGTCTAATGGGTGGTGGCTGACTATTGTAATGATGCAAAAGCAGCATCCTTTTGCGATTTACACATACTCCCTCCCAACAGACGAGGCAAAGCAGCCACTACATTGTCTTGTTCCTTGCAGGATTGATTGATAGGATTGCTTTCAGCGCACAATTGAAAGCCTTGCCCTGAAAATTAAGAACTTACACTGGATGTCTTGAGCATTATCATAACTTACAGTGTGCTCAAAGCCGTTAGGCCAGAAAACGTTGATGGAATGGAGCCTTCAATCTTGTTATAGCTAAGCGATCTGTAGTCATTCAAACATACAGTTTATGTTGTGCACCATGACAGAATATGAAAAAACAGAAAGAAAGAAAGAAAGAAAGAAAGAAAGAAAGAAAGAAAGAAAGAAAGAAAGAAAGAAAGAAAGAAAGAAAGAAAGAAAGAAAGAGAAAAAAAAGGGAGGAGGGGGAGGGAAGGGGGGGGGGGGGGGGGGGGGGGGGGGGGAGGGCTTATTCAGATCAGAATGAGTAGGATCACCAACTAGTCGCAAGGAAGGAGTGTTACTGGAATGGTAAGCGATGAGAAAGAACAAAAGAACAGCTACTGGAACCAGAACATGCGGCTCACAGGTAGGTAAGGTGCTTCAAGGATGTCCAGTAGTCGGGAATAGCTCCACTCAGCCCATTGCCTGATGCATCACTGCCACGCCACTCAAGGATGGAACGGAAGTACATGCTTTTGTTCACAGTGGTGGGGTAAACTAGTAAACAGTCAACATTATGCCATCCTTCGCCGTTTTCCCGTTGCACTCACTTGAACATGAACCATTCATAATCTTGTATTGTTAAGTGCTACAAACGATGGAGCATAGGCCAAGCATTTCGATACCACACCATCAATGCCATCATCTACAGGTTCACCCACCCCTGCCCGTGAGCAGCAGCGGCCCTGCTTGTATCTCTTTTAAATATTCTCCTGGGCCTGCCCCAGCCATATGCTCATGACATATGCCTGCTACTCGTCCTCAACCTCCCAGTGGTGTAACCTAAAAGTGGTGTAACCTCGCAGTGGTGTAACTTTACAAGGTGTAACCTCCCAGTGGTGTAGCCTCGCAGCGGTGTAACCTCACAGTGGCGTAACATCACACTGGTGTGTGCAGCAACTCACAAGTGCTCAAGGTGTGCCAGGCGCGAGAGGTCTTGTGGCATCACTCCAGTGCGCAGCTTGGCATAATGAGCCGCGTCGCTTGGAGGTGGTGGGGGGAGGGAAGAAAGAAGCCAGAAAGGTGAGATAGGGATGTCCTGAGGCTCTTCAAAAATCGTCTCACATCAAGTGGGTGGTGAGAGGAGAGCAGGGAAGAGGAGTGAAAAGGAAAGACGAGGAGATGGGAGGAGAGCAGCGAAGAGGAGTGAAAAGGAAAGATGAGGAGATGAGAGGAGAGGAGGGAAGGGGAGTGAAAGGGAAAGATGGGGAGATGAGAGGAGAGGAGGGAAGGGGAGTGAAAGGGAAAGATGAGGAGGGGCGAGGAGGGAAGGGGAGTGAAAAGGAAAGATGAGGAGATGAGAGGAGAGGAGGTTTGCCAGGAAGACGGGCAGGAAGTGGCAGAGCAAAAGAGATTACCCCTACGTAGTGTGTGCTTGAGAGTGTGTGCGTGTGGATGTTCATGATTGTTCTTCTGACCCAAGGAAAGAATGTAGTACCAAGGTGATTCCAAAAAAATAAGAAAGCGCAAGTGATTTTTGGAAAAGAAAACTCTCAGTGGCACATGCATGCGTACAGATATCGTAGATTTGTCAACTCCAAGGACCATCGAGGAAATACGGTAGTTCGCAGACCGCTTACATCCCTGAAGCAGGCGAACATGAATGTACGTGGGTGGGGTTACATAAATGATCACGTTTGTGATGCTTGAAACGAAGAATGCATGGAAGTTCAATGGTTGGGACGAGATGGAAAAGCCTCACAGATTTGTGGTTGCAAAAAGATATGTGTGTGTGAAAGCACAAGTAAGTAGTGCATCCATACAGAGTTTGGCATAAAACACAGCAGAGACGTACATAAAACGTATGTGAACAGGTCAGATAGAAAGCAAACATGTGAACAGCGGCAGTTTGGGAGAACACAATGGCATATGAACATGCCTCGCTCCATATTCACAAACTCGAGCTATGCTGCAAAAGACGCTAGGCGCGCCATGCATCCTGCGTCTGAACACAGCGTCCGGACGGAGGGACGCAGGACGCACGTCCAGACGCAGGACGCACGGCGTTTTTTTTTTCGGGCTGTCCGAAAAAAAAAAAAACAAAAAAACTTGATCGCGAAATGGACATTCCCGCGAATGTCGATTTCGCGTCATTTCGACCCCCTTTAACCCAAATCGTTTGGAGGAGGATGGGGAGGTGGACGGGGACGACTTATGCATTGACAAGTACGAGCACCAGGAAGACATGGAGGAAGAGGAGGAGGAGAGCGAGGAGGGTGAGGATGAGTGATTGGTTGCCTTGATGCAGTAGTAGTATGCATGTTGCTAAGTGATTGGATTAAATGTGATCTTTGTGACATTCGTGACTCACCTTGATCTTGATTATTGGGGGAAAAATATATTGTTGGGGAAAATTTTGCATTGAATGTGTGCGACGTTGCCCCCCCTCCCCTCCCCCTCCCCCCTTCCCATGCCCTATAACATAATCGCACGACGCAAGCCTCGCTTAGACGCAGGACGCGTCTTTGCAACTACTCGAGCAACACGTGGTAGGTAGGTGGGATGACATCTCCTCTCCTAGTGCTGTCTCACAAGGTCAAACCACAAAAGCCACCCAGCTAAGACGATTTTAACCACCACTGCTCTGCTAGCGTTCCAGCCCAAGGAACAACAACATGTTCGCCCCGAACACAAAGGACCTTTGAGGCGCCTAAAAAACAAATCCCCCTTCGATCCGCCACGACATGCTTGTGGCGAGCCGAACAGGTGATTGCGTGCTCATGCCTAGTTCACGATTCAACCTCTTGGAGTCTAAGTCAGGCAGTTTTCTTTGTGTTACATGGAACTTACGGTTCTAACACACTTCATTTCCACGAAATTTCGGCTGATTGACTCACCTAGAGGTAGGAGGGGAGCTCAAATTGACTCGCCTCGTGCTCATGTCTACTAAGAAATAGGTGTGTGGAGCGGAGAAGTTTCGCTTGTATCACACTTAGTGCCGACTCACAGGTGGGTGAGAGCAGTCAGGGTGCCCAGCAAAGCAGGTAGCTCGCCGCCCCAAGGGACGCGTGCGATGGTGCTGCAATGATGGACGCATGGGGGCATGGTGTAAGGCACGAACACAGAGGGGGTCAACTGTTGTCTGCTAACCGTACAACAGGGCACATGACATGATGATAGGGGCTCTGCATCTTTCAAACCACAACACACAACGCATGAACGAGGATTTGCAATTGTCGAACCATGCTACAAGGCAATTTTCCTCGGTCTTACACATGCGCACTACGCCAAGTGGAGCAGCGGCGCTTTCATTCAACTCACAGGCTTTGCATGGCTGTGAGGGCAGTGAGGAAGGTGAGCGTTGACAAATCTCCCTCCACACTGAACATGTTATACATCACACTGGTGAGGTGCGGTGGGGTGCGGTGCACCAACGCAGCCACCATGCAGGAGAATAGAGTAAATTCAAAAGAGGCGGATGTTAAAAAGGGCTGGTTAGTAGCAGGAAGAACTGTGTGTTGGCCAACTGACCCGCACCACCTGGATGTCAGCCCCATGACAAGATCTGCCAACCAAAGCCCCACTTTACTTGCCCACACCACGTGGGCGTCGTGCGATCTCTCGGCTTGAGTCATGCGCTCAGCAGCAGTGCCTGCAGGAAAATAGCTCAAGCTTATTCTGCATTTAGTGACAATAATAGGCTAGCATGCTGTTATAGAGAATCGCATATTTTTGCAGCGAACACACTCCAGATTCCACTCAACAAGCTCGCCGCACATTTCTGCATGTTTAAGTTGCAAAGCATGTGTGTTATGTAATGTTGGTCGACCTCCAGCGCAGCACGGTCGACCGCGTTCCAGCGCAGCAATGCTCGCACCGCTCCAGCGCTGCAGAGATGCGGCGCGCCAACGTTGCATGTCCGTGGTGTGCCAACGCTGCAGCAAGTCGGCTGCACAGCGCTGCACCCGCAGGACAACGGTGCACCTGCTTCGCAGGTGCGCGCAGCTGGTTGGTGCTCCACGCCTTGTCACGAGCACAACGCGGACGCCTGGCAGACTCCACGCCAGCGACTGCGCCCACCAGCCACGTCGACCTCGGGATACCACCCCCGAGGTCGGCCTCGCAGACTCCACCCCGGCGACGCTCGCACATGTCGCCCGGGTATCCCGGTCGACCGGGCAACCCTGCCTGGTCGTCCAGCCCAGTCGGACGCCGGCCACACCCATCCCGGCGTCCCACGTCGGCGTCCTGGCGTCCAGGTCGGCGTCCACTCGCCCAGGACGCCGTCCAGGCGCCCAAGTCGGCGTCCAGGCGCCCGGGACGCCGAGCAGACCCCCAAGTCGGTGTCCCACCTCCCAGGACGCCTAGCAGAGGCTCCAGTTGGTGCCCAGGCGCCCAGGGACGCCGAGCAGACGCCCAGGACGGCGTCCAGGCGCCCAGGACGCCGAGCAGACGCCCAGGACGCCGTCCAGACGCCAAGGACGGCGTCCACCTGCTCGGCGCCCTCCAGCCGGGCGCCTCCCAACACCACGCCCTTGCAGTGGCCCCCGTGCCCACTGCTGCAGGTCGGCTGCATTTCCCGCGCACCCGACCACAAAGTCGGCTCCGCCCAAGCGAGGACGGGGCCACACAACACTCCCGTTGACAATGCATGTGTGCCGCGGTATTACAGGGTGAATTAGCATGCAATACGTACAGGGTGTGTAGATTGGTGAGGCTTGAGATCCACGAGAGGTCCTCCACACGCCCAATTATGTTCTCTGCACCGATATTTCTGAGAGCAAAAGAAGATGAGCATGTGTGCATGTGTGTGTGCATGTGTGTGTGTGTGTGTGTGCGTGCGTGCGTGCGTGCGTGCGTGGGTGCGTGCGTGGGTGTGTGCGTGCGCGCGCGTGTGATACAGAATGGCAAATTAGGCTTCAAACTTCTCCACAGACCAATCTCAATTTCAACGATCTCCTTGAGGAAGTATCGTAATAAATGGGTAGGGGCGAGGCTCGGCTGGGGAGGGGGGAAGAAACAGGGGTGGGTGTGTAGAAAGAAAGAAAGAAAGAAAGAGAGAGAGAAAGAAAAAAAAAAAAAACAAGAGGCGACGAAGTCGTCGTAGGGTTGCGAAGCGCTTTACGTAAGTACACAATTGTGTACACCTTCAAAAACTATACATAATACTGTAGTATGACACTAGATTGGGTACTTTCTCTTTGTTGGCAGAGTTACCAAAACTTGCGTTCGCAAGATTCGATCTCGAGTCTTCCTTTCCACACATTCAACTTCAACCGACTGCGCCAACGCTGATGCAAAACTTTCCTTATAAACTTTTCACGACATCATAATTTGCGACGAATTTGACACTTCCCTAGGGTTTGTTCGACCCCTTTTTTTCTCTCCCTTGCTGGTCTCCCTGGTAGTTACGCTCCACCTACTAAGTCAAGTTCCTACTAAGGTAAGAGGAGCCCTAATCTCTCAGGTAGATTTAACTTAGAAGAATACGAGCTAGACTAACATGTCTCAAACACTTCTCATGATCGTTTACTCTAGTGTTGTCCGGTTTTGAAGGATGCAAGTTGACTAAAGCTTAGGTTCTAGGCTTGTTGTAAAGTCGTCAGCCTTAGTTCTTTCATAATCCTGCATCCGTACATCTGTTTCTTCATTGACCCCTTTCCTCCGTTGCAACCTCCTTACCTCGTATTTGCATTTTTATTTGACGTTCTTACTTCCTTACTTCTTATGTTCTTGCTATGTCAATTTAAACATCCACCATTCCTTGTCGTAGCAGCCATTATTTCGACCGAGGAGCACATCATTCCTTTCTTGTGCGCCTTGTTGTTACCATTCCACACTTGTGTTATCCATTTTCTTGATTTCTATTCAGCTTTTCTACCCATTCATTGGTTGTTCTCATTCAACTATGCGCGATCCAGTCGTAGGTGGGTGAGTTCGTACTTATGAAAACTTCCTTATCTAATTCTTTTACCAACAACTCAGGTGCTTTTTATTTTATATTCTCCTTCCTTTCGTTACATTCTCTAGATAATTAGCTGCTTCTAATTCCGGTCCTATCTTTCTTCCTTCAACCTCTAGATTGTAATATCGATTTGGTAATTCATTCTTTATACATCGCCTTCTCGATTTTAGGTTGTAAAGATTTTAGCCTTTTCATGTTTTCAAGGTTCATAAGCCTTTCGCTCGTTCCCTTTCATTTTAGTGGAGAAAAACTTTTAGCATTTTGAATATGAGGTATATTCTCCCTCTCTGCATTTTTATTCCTCTCCCCTTCTTTCGATGATCATTCTTCTTTCCTTTGTTCTGTACTTTTCCATTCTTACCTACGTGTTTCTCTTTGGACTTTTCTTCTTACCTTTTTTCTCTTTCTTCTTTTCCGTTTACTCCAATTCCCTGCTATTTGTGTTCAGAAAGCCAGCTTGTTTTTTTTTTTTTTTTTTTCAAAGTCGCCATCTATATCCCCTCAACTTCCATTCCCCATTTCCCCCCTTTCGTTTCCCTATTTCCTACTTTTCAGAGGTTTTGCTGTACCATTCGGGAATTGAAAGTCCTTTTTAAAGGAGGAACGATCACATTTGTGGCGATTAGGTCTAATTGTGTTGTATTGCTTGGTAGCGATCTTTTTCATTTTCTGTGTGTTTTTTTTTTCCTTCGTAAGTTCTTTTTGCATTGGCTTGTTCCGAGCTTCTGTGCGTGCGTATGTGTCCGTATGTGTGGCATTCATCTACCATATCATTATCCATCTGTTATTTCATTAACAATGCATGTCTGTGGTTTTTAGAAATGAGAATCAGTTCTATCATTTCCCAAAGGTTCATTGAGTTACACTCGAACGGGTACGCTCACTTGAACTGGATTTGGTAGGTTGATCTCGTTTTTAGACTTCACAGATTGTGTTGTTTCATGTGATAGTTGATTATTCAAAAGCTAAGCTATTGACCTCCCCCCCATGCTAGGCAGGGGATGGCGGTAGCTTAGTTTTTGGGTTGTTAACTATCACGCATTTTATCATGTGCATGTGCATCATTCATGACATATCACATGCATTATATAGCATCATTCTATGCATTATGCATTGTATAGCATCATTTATGCATTACGCATGCATCTCTTTATCATTACACAGCAACATCTAACAGTAACATATAATGCAAACAGTACAGCAAATCTACACTAAACAATTGGGAAAATATCATTTGGTTTAATGCACTATGAACAATACTGTATTCAAAACTGCTCACCATGCATACAATATGGGAATGGTATTATTGTAGATGACAAATTTTATTTTCATGATTTTATAAAAAATTATAAATATGAAAATAAAATTTGGCAAAATCGATCGTAAAGGGTTGCTTCGCAACCCAAAAAGCGTGTGCCTGTAGTATGGTGTGGATGGCCATGGACGGTTGGCATAGTATGGATGGTAATGCTTGTTGCCCGCACGCACACTTTTGACTGTTGCAAACCAGAGTGATGGATGGAAGGGGGAGGTTACTAACTGCTCTAGGCTTGTGAAATAAGGAGCTGTGATGAGGTTGTTGGTGATATTGTGACCATATGCCTGGAAGCAATACGGGTGGGTGAAAACCTGATGTGCAATGGTGGCACAGCGACAAGTGAATGAATGCATGGCAATCCTCCAGCGCATATGCATGCAGGCGTGCGGGCATGCATGCACAACTGCAGCAGCCCATGGCATGGCATGGCATGGCACAGCACTGACAGATATGTGAGTCGAGTCAAACGGCCGAGCGTGGATGGTAGGCTTCCAGAGATTGTGGTCATGTAAATATCTCTGATGGTCACAGGGAGTGAGGTGAACGAGTGAATAGCACCGAAATCATGAACGGATGCCACAAAGCTGCACGGGAGAAACCAAATACTATAAAATAACCGCCTAGTTTTTGAGTTTACTCAAAACACGGGAGAAACCAATTATATTATTCCACCACCTAAGAGCTGGGTCCTTTCTTTGCAAACTAGCATTCTTTTGCCACTCCACTAAAGGGAACACAAAACACACGCAAAACAATGGAGTGCAGAGGCTCACAGCAAGAGGCGCACAGGTGAGAGAGAGCTGGGAGAGAGAGGATGGCAGATGGCAGGGAACCTGTCACCGATGTCCATGCAAGGTCCCTAGCGGTAGAGTGGTTTGCATCACACCAAGAAGAAGGTGGGTGAGGGAGGAGGAGGTTGGTCAATGAGGTATGGACAAGTGAAGAGAGGTTTATATCGCACATAACATGAAAGGTGAAGGGAAACTGGCGGAGGCTGGTGGGCGAAAAACACAAGCAGGGAGACGATGCAGGAAAGGCAAGCATGGTGTGTGAAGTCATCCCATCCTCATCCATTCAGTTCTTAATGAGTGACCAGTTCCGCAGTACCTCTATTGGGAAGAAGAAAGCGCGTACAGACAGACAATGCAAGGAGGAACAAGACGGCTCACGGGGAGGAGCGTTGAGGGGAAGGCATGTGGCGTGTGCCCCGCTTACAGCACGCGGAGGGACGTTGGGAGAGCGAGTTGGGTGATGGAGCCGTGGAGAAAGATGTTGCTGGCGAGCACACTGGAAGGGAGGAGGGGAACCGAGAGGAGTTGGAGCATGGGAGGGGGTGGGAGGAGAGTGGGAGGAGGGGCGGAAGCGTGACAGATGCAGAGGAGGTGCAGGTGGTGGGAGGAGCACGGCTTGCTTGCCATTTTGCACAGCACACCAACGCATCATGAGGTTCCGAGATGCTGTGACAATTTCAGGCTGAAAGCGTAGGGCTATTAATGTATTTTCAGAGAGGAAGGAAACAGGGATGATAAGTATTTCCAGTGCCTCCAGGGCCAGGAGGGCTGCTGCTGCAGCGGACAGGAGCCTAAGTTGCAAAATGCGCTCAGGACACAGTGCGTTTAGCGGATATACGCTAGCGTTTACACGCTAAACGCTAAACGCAAGCTAATACGCTATACGCTTGCCAATTTTTTTTTGGGCAGCCCGACCAAAAAAAATGTTAATATACGGAAAGATGCGGAATTGCACGACGAGCATTTTGCCACCGTCAAAATTCACGTCCGCGATTTGTGCAAGAGTGAACGGCGATTTCCGCGCTGATCGGCAATTTCCCTTCCCCGCAGATCCGCGCGGATCGAAGTTTCTTCCCGCAGAAGGGATGGGGGGAAAGATCAACGTCGTAGATCTGGACTGGAATGAAGTGACGTGACGACTGCACAAATTTCAAATATCAGATTGGTTGGATGAGATAGATGCAATGCAGTGAAGATAGGTGACGGGAGGGGGAATTGGTTGGAGGCAACATTGGCGATGGGTGTGGGGCACGAATTCCAACATTGGCGATGGTTTCCCTGTCCAGGAACTCTCCTTCGCCTCGTCCTACACTCCAGCAATCATGCCTTGTGATTGCGAGCCCGAAGCAGAGCAGATTCGCGCAACGCTATTGCAGTCTAGCGTCTTAACCCGATTTCGGGCCGAGTCGAGGGTGGTTATCTTAGTATGGAGAAAAACTTAACTCTGAAACATAACCCCCCTATAATAGCCCGGGCGGATTTTTTTCCTGCCCGGGAAAGTTTTTTCCCTGCCCCAAAAAGCGTATGTCCAAATCGCTCCCTTACGCGTATAGCGTATATACGCTAGCGTATATACGATACGCGTATATACGCTATAAGCGTATTTTGCAACTTAGACAGGAGCACGAGCATTTGTTTGGAAGGTAAAGGACGGTGTGTGCCAAGCCAACCAGGCTGTCCCAGCCTTGTAATCTAAGTTGCAAAAAACGCTAGAGACCCTTTGCGTTTAGCGGATATACGCTGGCGTTTACACACTAAACGCTAAACACCAGCAAATACGCTAAACGCTGGCAAATATTTTTTTGGGGCAGCCCGACCAAAAGAATTGTGGAATAACACCCTAGATTCCCCCCCTATAATAGCCCTGGCAGTAGGAGAGTATTATGTAGTGATGTGTGTAGGAGTTGCAATCTTTTTATGGGGAAAAAATATTACCTCTGAAACATAACACCCTAAATTCCCCCCTGTAATAGCCCTGGCGGTTCTTTTTGCCCTGCCCGGGGAAGTTTTTTCCCTGCCCGAAAAAGCGTATGTCCAAATCGCCCCCTAAGCGGATAGCTTATATACGCTAGCGTATATACGATAAGCGTATATACGCTATAAGCGTATTTTGCAACTTAGCTTGTAATGTCCTTGACATAACGTAGCAGGGAGAGATAGAGGGCTAAAGTTGCACTACGTACAGAAATAAGCAAAGATGAGAAGTTAGAAAGCAGAAGGGGGCCTCAGGTAAATTTCAAGGTGCCTCAAAACTCGTCTCATTTCAGGTAGAGGGGGCTCGGGTGGAGGCACGGACAGGGAAGCAGCGGTGCAGAGCAGACAAACAAAGTGGGCGGCAGAGACGTACAGGCGTCGGAGGTCGGGCATGCGCGAGAAGAGGGTGAGCGGCATGGTGGAATTGACCATAGCATACTCGGACAAGTCACTGCGGGAGGACGAAGGGAGGGGCGTTGGTGGATGAAACATGGAGGATTTGTGAGCACGTGTGCATGCACACACACTTCTGCCCCTTGCTATAATCTCGCTTCCCGAAACACGACCTCTCTCTATCCACCGCTTTACCATGGCGCAAACACCTCCTCTCTCAATCCTACCGCCTTGCAGCACAGCAACGCACAGGATGTGTTGAAGCCGCGCTGGTTGCACGTGATGTACTCCCACTCGCTGCAGCGCCGCATGTCACAGCACTACCTGCCTCATCACTTATCAATTTCACAATCACTCCTCTCTCTACCGCCTTGCTGCAGAGCAACGCACAGGGACGTGACGAAACCGCGCTGGTTGCACGTGATGTAGTCCCACTCGCTGCAGCCCCGTGAGGCATTGCTCCTCCCCTCCCACACCTGCCATGCCGCGTTCAGCTCCAACAGTGCTTGCACTGGTGCCGTGCCACATGCATGCACCCAAGCACATACGCATGCACCCATGCACACATGCATGTACCCACGGACACATGCATGCACCCTGCACACATGCACGCACCCATGCATGCATGCACACATGCACACATGAACGAATGCACTTATGCATTCATGCGATACGTGGAGGCATGCATGCACACATGTCCGCATAACATGCATGCACTCACGCAATCATGCACCCATGCACCCATGCACCCATGCACCCATGCACCCATGCACCCATGCCCGGATGCACACATGCACCCATGCGCCCATATCATGGACGTGCATGCACCCAGCGCCATGGTCGCATGAGGTGCAAGTAGGCAAACAGGGAGGCAGAAAAGATGGGCGGGAGGAGCATGCGGGGCTTGAGTGGAAACACACACAGATGCTCGGCTTGGGAATTTGCAACGCGAGAGTCAGGGAAGTGCGAGAATTGTGACGAAAACAGGGGGCTTAGGGTGGTACGGAGAGAGGCATGCAGGGGAGAGGCATGCAGGGGAGAGGCATGCAGGGGAGAGGCATGCAGGGGAGAGGCATGCAGGGGAGAGGCATGCAGGGAGAGGAATTAAGGGGAGAGGAATTAAGGGGCACGGCATTGAGGGGAGAGGCATTGAGGGGAGAGGCATTGAGGGGAGAGGCATTGAGGGGAGAGGCATTTAGGTAGACTGGTCTCTATCTCAAGCAATCTGCGCTTGGGATGCACTGGGCCGCAGGGCGCAGCGGCAGGCAAGCAGGCGGAGGCAACGCATAACAGAGATGGCGATGCTGGGAGGAGCGAGCGGAGGCGCGCTCGCCATCCACTATTCGCCGTGTGCATTCCGTTGCGGGCGTGCCAGAGGGCTCTTGGGAGGCTCACGCTGAGTGTCCGCGAGAACCGCCCCTGCGGCAGATGCGCGCGGAGATACAGTATCGGCGAGGCTGATGCGACGCCCATTCCGTTCACCGTGCGACCCATGCGACCCGCGCGACCCGCGCGACCCGCGCGACCCGTGCGACCCATGCGTCCCATGCGACCCGTGCGACCCGTGCGACTTGGTCAAGTCGACAGGTTGGCGAACCGTCTGCTGCCCCTCCGCCGCACTGCCAGTGTAAGTAGCGAGGGCGGGGGTAGTGAAAGAAGCGTCATGCGGCGAAAGCAAGAGGACGAGAAGCGCCGATGTGAGGAAAATCGCCGCGGGGCAACGGTCGAGCAGCAGCGGGCTGCGGGAGATCGGCGGCGACCGTTGCCGTGACATTCCCGGAACCGCACAATCTACCGCTGCGATTCAGCACCACCTTCACCTGAAAACGGATTTGCTCGCCGTCAAACTAATACTACGGAATGCTAACCTGCGACCCATTACCAAACGACATATACATACCACAAACAATATCCCATCACGTATCTTACGAACAGATAGACCCGTTGTTAGTACAATTCGAAGCTACTACGGTATGAGGGTTTTATAAAAAGCTACACTTGAAATTCAGAGTTCCAAAAATCCAAAAGTACGCCCTGGTTGCACTGCAGACGAATCACAATATCCATACAGCTGTGCCGTGTGCGTCGCAATCCATACAACCTACCAGAGGGTGCTGCAGGAATCTCAGCAACATCTGTTGTCTACAGATAATAACTTGGAACCAAAAACATTTATAATACTGTATTGCTTTCTCTCAAGATCGGAAGTGTTGTTTCATTGATGGTGGTTGGGGTACAAGTAGCAAACCCTAACATACGTACCCCCAAAGACACATCTCACTACAGGCTACCAACATTTGACACACCCCCATAGCCTAAGTGAGGGGTGTCTAGCAAAACCAAAAGAGTACGGTCACAAGACCAGTCACAAAGAAACAAAGCTCAGGGTGGATCACAACGTCACCACAAACTCTGAGCACAAGCAACAATGGCCACAAGGCCAGTCCAAACAATAACAGAGATATATAGAAAGGGTACAAGCAAAGCAAGCAGTGAACTCAAGACTAAGTAAGCCGAAAACCAGTGTCAACAAGGCCTAACTGCACACAACACCTGTGGTGGTCACAAGGCGGAAGCGCCTTGGTGAAGATGTCTGCAGTGTTGGCCTCAGACTCCACAAACTCGAAGCGAGCCTGTCCACGCCTCTGCAACTCTCGCAGAAGAAAGTACCTGACGTTAATGTGCTTCACTCTGCTCTCCAGTCGCGGCTCTCGACAAAGGAGAATGGATGCCTTGTTGTCAGTGAACAAGGTCGGTGCAGAGCTCGGCCGCTCACCCAGGTCGGCGAGCAAGAACGTCAACCAACGCAGCTCCTGTGCCGCCATGGCACCAGCGTAGATCTCAGCCTCAGCTGTAGAGGTCGAGACCGAAGAGGAGCGCGTGGACCGCCAGGAAACAGCTCCAGAACCCAGACTGAAACAGTACCCCTGAGTAGACCTGTGAGTCTCAGCGTCGTCAGCGTAAGAAGAGTCACAGTGACCAGTAAGTACAACAGACTGCTGCCCTCCAAGAACTAGCCCCACGCCTGATGTCGTCGCTAGGTACTTCGCCACCCTCACAGCTGCTGTCCAGTGAACAGGACGGTGTCTCCCTGGCGCAACAAAGCGCGCAAGGATGCTGAGAGGGAAAGCGAGGTCCGGGCGAGTACAAGTCATCAGGTACATGAGGCAACCCACAAGCTCTGCGTAGGGACCACTAGGCTCAAACGGCTCGTCAGGAAAGGGGCCAGTGAGTCTGTGGTCAACAGCAAGAGGTGTGCGCTGTACTGTGGAGTGCTGAAGCTCGAACCGCTGAAGGACCTGCTGCACCATGTGTGACTGTGAGAGTGTAATGGTGCGAGCAGCTCTGTCCCTGGTGATCTGCAGCCCAAGGTAATGGCGCAGCTCACCAAGGTCAGTGCACGTGTGTCTCTTCTGCAGTTCGGACTTCACGTCTGCCAAAGCAACCCTGTCAGCAGTGGCGAAAACTAGGTCGTCGACGTAAACCAGAACGAAGAACGGTGTGGAGCCACGGCGAATGAACAGCGACGGGTCGGCAGAAGACGGCTGGAACCCAAGGTCAGAGAGGGTAGAGCGAAGAGTGTCGTGCCACTCACGAGGTGCCTGGCGAAGACCGTAGACAGGTCGCCTCAGCCTCCACTGGGTCCCAGGAGGGAAAGTGCCAGTGAAGGCAGAGGGACGACGCAGCCAGACCTCCTCGTGTAGGCTGCCCTGAAGAAAAGCAGTGGAGAAGTCGAGAGAGTGTAACTCGTAGTCTCTCTGTGCTGCTACGTGCAGTAACACCCGAAGAGTGGTCATCTTCGGGGTGGGCGCGAAGGTCTGAAAGAAGTCAACTCCCTCGCGCTGACTGAAACCTCTAGCAACGTAGCGCGCCTTGAAGACTGGAGGAGATCCTGGTGGCCGCTTCACCCTGTAGATCCACATGCCATCGACTACGTTCGTCCCAGGGGGAGGAACCTCATCGACGTAGGTGCCTGTGGATCTGTAGGAGGCCATCTCTGCGTCCATGGCAGCTCTCCACTGAGAGGCCCAAGGCCCTGACACTGCCTCAGCGTAAGTGCGAGGAGTCGGAATGTCAAGGGCGTCAGGGTCACCCTCAGGGGTGAGGAGCATGGCACAGAGATGAGGGGAAGCGGCTGCCAGGAACTCTAGCTCAAACTGCCTGTCCTCTAGGACGTCACAGCCAAGGGCAGACACACCCCCGATGGCCAGAGGACTGGTAGGAGGAGCAGCCACAAGAGTGGTGGCGTAGTCAAGGCGGCGAGTAGAGGCAAACTCAGTGACCGCGGCAGTAAGAGCAGAGACAGAGGACAAAGAGGCACGAGGGTGGGTAACAAGAGAGGCGAGAACACGAGAGAGAACAGGACGGTACGTGCGGTAGTAGTCAGTGACAGGGGTAGAGAGAGAAGCTGTGAGGGCCGACTCAGGAGGAGAAGGAAGCACAGGAGGAGCCGAACGAGACGGACTAGAACGTAACAAGACAGTACGAAGGTCAGTGAAAGGAACAGGGGACGAGGGACGAGCACGAGGAGAGCGACGAGTAGCCCAAGTACGAGACGGAGGAGGAGAGGACAAAGGCGGAGAACTGGGGAAAACAGCGGGGGAGGAGTCAGGAGGAGGAAACGTGGGACCGTAGACAGGAGGAGAGGCGGGGGAGGGAGGAGAAGGAGAGGGGAGACCAAGGGTCCGAAGACCTGAGACAGGAGGAGGAAGTGGCTGCTGCTGCTGCTGCTGGTGCTGCTGGTGCTGCTGCGGCTGCGGCTGCTGCTGGGACTGCTGCTCCTGCGGCTCCAGCTGCTGCTGCTGCTGCTGCTGCTGCTGCTGCTGCTGCTGCTGCTGCTGCTGCTGCTGCTGCTGCTGCTGCTGCTGCTGCTGCTGCTGCTGCTGCTGCTGCTGCTGCTGCTGCTGCTGCTGTTGCTGCTGCTGCTGCTGCTGCTGCTGCTGCTCCTCCCTGTAACTCCCTCTCCTCTCTCTCCAACGCCAGCTGCTCCTCACGGGCACGGCGAACACGAGCCTGGTGCCTAGTCGGGTAGGGGTGGGGGGGCGGAGTAGTGTCCGGAGCAGCGGCAGCTCCAGAGTCCACCCCCGAAGGACCAGGCACACCACCCCCAAAGGCATCACTAACACCAGCTCCAGACCTAGGCTCACCAGAACCTGAAGGAGGCGCACCCTCACCCCCAGACAGAGCACCCCCAGTGTCCGCGCGACCAGCACCAGCTCCCGGAAGACAAGAGTCCTCTGCACCCACCGGCTCAGCTCCAACTCCAGCACCCCCAGAACTAGAAACCGGTACTGGAACAGGCTCGGCACCAACCTCTCGAGAGCTAGCACCTGCGGCACGCTGCGAGGAGGACTGTGGGGAGGGAGGCTGTACCGGAGGGGCTACCGAAGGAGGAGGGGTAGCCTGGGACACACCTGACGGGGCTGGACCATGGGGGGAAGGCTGTACCGGGGGAGCAGGAGGGGGAGCGGCAGTCAGGAAGAGGGGGGGAGGAGGAACCGGGAGACCTCG